TAATAGCCCAATTGTTGTCGGCTAACGTGCGCCATTTTCGGATTTTATGACGTTTAAAAAAAAAATGAACTAGTCTAGAGACTAGGTGTAGGGTGTCTGGTCGCGCACCCGATGTGTGTGCTAAAATGCTCCCCATAGAGATTTCACGCATCCCTATGTGGTCTACGTGCATTGCGCGACCATGCAAAATTGGTCAATGATTTTATGAAAAAATTTGAAATTCAAACCTTTAGCCCTCGTAATCCTGAAGGTAAAACTAAATAAATGAGGTGCATATGAAAGAGCAGGTTTTTCTCCATATTTCCCAAGGGACCTCACCCCCAAAATTCTAAAATATCTTGGTCAAAACATCGATTGAAATGTTGCTTGGATCCTAGCTCCGAGATGACTCACTTTCCTGAGCCGAGCCCCCGCGGCTTAAGTAGGGCTACCGTATTTGCCGGCGTAAAGGCCGCAGTATTTTTGGAAGAGAAAATATCAAAAAGTCGGGGTGTGGCCTTTACGACGAAACAGAAAAAAAAAAAAAAGTCAAAACCAGCACAAATTTGTACATATGGGACTAGATCTACAAACGGTACAATAACTATACATTTCCACACATCTTACCGACAATTTTATCTTGCTTTTTTTTACATGAAGATGAAAATAAACTTCCATAAACAACATCTGCCGATAGATTTTGATCTAAGTTCGTGCCAATGCATTGCAAAAGTAAAAGAAGGGCCCGTTTATCGGAGCTGCCGCGAAGTCGCCATTTTCAATCCATTTCAATGACTACATCACAGAAAACTGCAGTACATAGTATCAGTGCGTGATGGCCGAGTGGTTTAAGGCGTTGATTTTAGTCACATCAACATTTGTACGCAAGAGATCGAATCCCGTCTTTGGCAAAAGATTTTTTTTTTATGCCTCCGCCACCGAAGGTGGTGCCGGAGGCATCATGTTTTCGGGTTGTCCGTCCGTACATCCGTCCCGTTTGACCGTTATCACAATATCTCAAGAACCATTTAAGATTTAAACTTAAGACTCGGGAATAGTATTTATCACCATAGGAAGACGATCTGATTAGATTTTGGAGTACGTAGGTCAAAGGTCACAGGTCACAGAGGTCAACTTGTGAAATTCCATGTCTTCAGCTCGTTATCGCGATATCTCAAGAACCATTTGAGATTTTAAACTTCAAACTTAAGGATAGTATATATATCACCATAGGAAAACGATCAGATTAGATTTTGGAGTACATGTATGTCAAAGGTCATAGAGGTCAACTTGAAAAATTCAGACTACATGTATAGGACTTGTCATGATATGTCAAGAACCACTTCAAATATGTTCGGTTACTTAACCCGTACTTAACTAGGCTATTTTGAGCACCTCCCTGACTGGGGGGGGGGGGGAGGGGCCGATTGCCTCGAAATTTGGCACGCATCTTGAGAAATTGCGCAAAGGAAGAGACCTCACTATTATTTTGCTGAAAATTGCTTATTTTATCAATTATGCTAATTTATGCAAAATTTTGCATAAAGGAAGAGACCTCACTATAATTTTGCTGAAAATTACTTATTTTATCAATTATGCTAATTTATGCAAATCAAATTCATGAATAATGATTTTTATTAACAATTACATAAATAAAGCTTTTACAGAGTTGATTTTGTGGCAAAAAGTTTCTAGAAAGCCTATCTATTTCAATTCTTATGTATTTCATTGTTTTATGAACTTCTTTTGTATTCTATTGTTATTAATTCTTAATTTTATGTATTGTATTGTTTTAGGACTTCTGATACTTGAGGTTGTTACGTATCAATATTTTGCTTGAATAAATGATAACTAAACTCTAAAGAGTAAAATTATGCTGATTTATAGACCAAACTAGAAACTTCACTTTGCCATTCATTTTGTACACAAAATGACAAATTTCTCAATTTTCGGCTTGACCTTAGGTCACAATAGGTCAAGTAACTCTCTAGTTTAAATTGCTCTATGGCGGAGGCATCATTTTCGACTGCGCGCAGTCAAAATCTATCTAGTTTTTTTTTTTTTTTCTTTTTAGATGTCAAAATCGGGGGTGCGGCCTATACCGCGCTGCGGCCTTATCGCCGGCAAATACGGTAGACGTAAGGATAAAATCCAGGTGCTTTTTTTTCGCTAGCCCCTAGGGATCATTCGGTGCAACAGTTTGAAAATACCCTTCCCACATATTTGGAATCAGCTAATAAGGGAGGCGTGAGCTCCGCTCAGTCCAAACCATGGTTACATCGCGTAACATGTGCGCATATAGTGAATGAAAGTATGGATAGCCGTTCGCACAATAAAACCCAGAAGTGAATACACGTTATAGTCAATGGCAATATCGCAGAGACAATGTGCACGTTGTCTCCGCGATATTGCCATTGACGATAATGGGTATTCTCTTCCGGCTAGCCATACTAGTCAATGGCAAATATCGCGGAGACAACGTGGCTCAAGCTGCAAGTTGCGCATAACATGCGTACGCTATGACCCATCAAAATTTCACTGTTTTTCGCAGTGTAAAGGAAAACTTCGGTGAGATACCGTTTTTTCTTCTCGTAATTTTCACAAATCATGCATGTGCACACTACTCACCCAAGTAGTATAAATGGAACCCCCCCCCCCCCCCCTAATCTTTTCTCTTTAAAATGGACTTTTGGATTTGTAAATGGGCCTTGTGTCTGTTAAATGTACAGTCATTCATTGATGTTGAATGCATCTTTTCTTTTGGAAAAGGCCTTGGAACAGTTAAAGTTATGAAACTACTTCTGGTGCTGCTACATTCTTTGGAAGTTGTATGGGCTCTTCAAATTGGCTTAATCGGAAATGTCTTTGTGATGTAGTGGTGAACAACTTTCCCAATTAGTCAAACGTACACAAACAACTAAAATTTTAATTTGTCAAAAATGTAAGACTCTTTTCTTTAGAGGACCTGTAGTAATATATCCTTGATTTAATTTGAGTAGTGCCCTCGGAAACAAGTCATATAGCAGAAAAAACATAAAAACTGATAATTTTGTACACGACAAATGGGACAGTTATCCACAACTACTTCACAATCCACTGACCTGACTAACAATTTGAAATTCGCATAGACTTAGTGGGTTTATATTTTAATCATTCATAACTTTCGTATTATAGGTCTGATTAACTGATCTATTGCAAACTTTTGCCATTCTGTGTAGGCCTGAGTCATCACAGGGTTTGCCGAACCCGGGTTAGACTTGAAAATTTCAGGCGGGGACCGGGTACCCGAAATTTTCACCACTGCACTGACACTCAAAATCGTGTGAATGCAGCGGCCGGAGTTAGACTAAGTTGCTGTTCTAATAAAGAAAAGACAGTTACTGCTTTCAAAACAATAAAATAATCAATTGAATTAAATTAAGATGTTTTAAAAAATAAATGGATATCGTTTCAGTTGACGGTAGGTGTTTTTATCGCTCAAAATTGGAGCTGCAAGAAAGGAATTACGCTTCGTGCGTGGTACCGAGTGCGTTCAGATACGGAAGTGGAAATATGACCCACTGAAGACTGAGTAAGTTAAGAAAGCTCCACACACAAGACTAAAATGTTGATCAGACCATTACAATTAAATCGTAATACTAATAGGCATTAATATAATTGTCAAAATATGTCCACAACATAATGGTTTACCCTTGATAATTTGATGAAGGAAAATAATTTAAAGCCCTTGAAATAACATCGAAGTGCCTTCCGTTTCTTCTAAAAATGCGTGTATAACGGCAAGCGTAGTTGTCATGCAGTAGACTGTAGAGGGCAGTATGCAGCAGAGAGAGAAAAAAAGGGCGGGCCTGAGATCACGTGATATTCACGTGCCTATTACGTGATTTTGTTTTCCTCTCTGCGAGCTGCCGCATTCTGTCTATAGTTTACTGCGCTGCATGATGACAACTACGTCTCATTTCAAAATGATGGCTAGCTGAACTCGGTATCGAGTACGTAGCTCATGAAATATCATTATTTCTGTAAGATATTATGAATATCTATAGTATTATTTGTCAAAGCAAATAATTATTTTACTGCAATTTTGTTGAATTGGAGTCTCGTAAAGTCTTACTTAATGTTTTTTAATTGGTTTAATGCTTAATGTTCCGATCAGCTCGGGAGGGATATATGTAAACAAAACTTGACTCGTAACTTCAGCTTGCCGTTATACACGCATTTTTAGAACGAACGGAAGGCACTTCGATGTTATTTCAAGGGCATTTAATTTATTTTCCTTCACCAAAATATCAAGGGTAAACCATTATGTTGTGGATATATTTTGACAATTAAATTAATGTCTGTTATTAGTATTACGATTTAATTGTAATGGTCTGATCAACATTTTAGTCTTGTGTGTGGTACTTTTGCTCATTCTTCGGTGGGTGATATTTCAAGTTCCGTTTCTGAACACACTCGGTACCACAAAGTTTGATTCCTTTCTTGCAGCCTCAATTTTAGAGCGATAAAAACATGTACCGTCAACTGAAACGATATCCATATATTTCTTAAGCGTACATTATTTAATTAAATTGAAATATACATGTAAGTTTGTGAATTGCATATTTTTAGGTCTTTATTTCAAAATATCAGTGTGAATTTTAATTTTGAAAAACCCGTAACTCAATTATTCAAAACCGGGTTTAGGCAAGACGGTCGAGGACCGAGCAGGGAACCGTTTTGACTCAGGCCTAATTCTGTGTATATAAGTTTCTGCTTTCGTACAAAAGATGTAATTGCAAGGGTTGGATTCCCCTTAAAGCTCCACTTTAATATTGAGGAATGAGCGTAAAGGAGGAGGGATCTCCAATTATGAAAACAAAATGAATGACAAAATCAAAAGGTTGTATGTACCGTACGTATCACCTAATACAAATATGATGAGCCCCTCCCCTTCTATACCCCCGTGACAATGTGCAACAAAAGACTAGACTATGTTATCTACCGGTAATCCAAAGTTCCTGTGTTTCTCTTCTCTCCAGGTTCCATGAAAGGAATGATGCCCATCTTTTCCAGGTTGGTAATTTTTCAACAACTTCACAACAAAAGTTCAAAATTTGGAGTTAATGCCATTAATGTCAAATGAGAACTGTAGCACTTCATTTCATCCATTACATGCCAGTGTGACCGACACCAGACTAACTACACACTGAACAAATAATTATTTTACGCACAATGGCCAAAAGTCAGGTTGGTTTGGAGTTAATCTGCAGTGAATTTGGCGATGTGACTGAGGTATAGGAGTAAAAGCCAACAGGTCAATTCCAGTGTAGCAGACATGACAATCAGACATATTTTACTAAGTGAATCAGACACATTTGACTATCAGAAACATACACAGGAAATTTCACAGTATTTGGCTCAGTAGTTGCTTTGATGCTTTGTAACTGTAATGGACACAACACATAATGGACATAGAATTTTGTATACCTATGAACAGTTTGAAAATCTGTGAGTTCTATCTAATGAGTCTTAAGTTAGGTATCAACAGAAGCTAAGGCTCTTAATCTGAACAAAAATACAAGTTGTTAAACCATTAGATGAAAACACATTTCATTGTCAGAGCTATAAAAAATAAGTATACAAAAAGTAGCAGAACAGACAATGGCAAGATGTGCGTAATTGACATGACACTTTTCATAGACCTCAATAGCTTTACTTTTCTTTTATCCATTAGTACCGAAAATCATTTTTGAAGAGTTGGTGTGAATCTAGACCTGTGATCGTGCCAACAATACACAAGTTTTATCACATTAATATTTGTTTATAATATCATCAATAAGATGTTTGAAATAATAATTGTCCTCATGATATTCAACATCCTCATATTGATCATAGAAATGTATCCTGTTATGACTACCGGTAAGTATTTGCCCAGCCATAGAGCATCACAATTTGTTGCACCATTATGTTACAAATTTGATCTCTTAAATTTGCCATGTCGATGATACACCAACATCATCAAGTTTATCATCATCATGATCACCACAATCGTTGTGATATCAAACTTGGACATGGATAATCATTAAGCTTAAGACATGAGCAAATTTTCAGGTGCATGCAAGTTTTAAAGACAAATAGTGGGCTCATGGGGAATTCAACATAACATTTTATGACCGACAGACCTTTTGCATTACTCTCGATTTTTCACCCGATGGCCCAATATCAAAAAGTCATCTTACATTTCACTCACCCAAAGACTCAGACTAGGCTAGGGGGTATTTCTTGATGGGGCCACAGGTTTGATGTGTTGCAGACTTGTATACCCATTTTTTCCACCAAGTCTGGTGACGAGGCAATTTGAAATGACTAAATGCTATGGTCAGAATTGGTCAATGAATAATGACATTTTTTTTGTTTTTTTGTTGAAATTATGGCAGGGTGTTGAGAGCCACTCGAATAGTCTTGAGATCAATGAAATGGCAACGGAGAGGGAAAGAAAGAAACCTGTGCCTTCATCTGCTACTGGAAGCCATATATCAGCCAATCAGAATGCTGACAGCCATTCAGCGACTTGTCAAAACAGCCCTAGGAATGTCATCAGTAAAAACATGTACTTGCAGCGACAGAAAGACAAACACAAACCAGGTAATTATTTTCATTACAATACAGCCTTTGCTTGTTTTAATTTATGGATTGTTGATTGTTATCTGATGCTTAAAATGGAAGAATGCTTGTAAATATAGTTTTAGAGCCTTTGAGCATTTTGCATGGTGTGATAACTTCCATCAGATTCAGACTCAAAAGACATTATTTCCTTTGTTTATCGAATGAATATGAATCCAATGTTGTCTATTATTCAACTCACTCCCAGATCCTAATCAAATGATTGGTCATACGTGGTCACGTGTGATTCATTTTACTGAGACTATCCTACGTTTTTCATGAAAAAGCGTGCAATAGTTTACAGTACTATCCAACATTTTTTTAATGTCGCAGCCCACGTATGAGGCATGATATGCGTACATAGGTATTGTGATGGACTCAATATACTTCCATGTACTTGACACGTTGTTGCAATAAAGAGAATAACTAGAGCGTGTAACTTGATTCTTGATGCCTTCTTTAATCTCTTGTGGTGTACAAACGTAGTGAATAATAAACTATTCAACAACTGTGTTGGTTACCCTGTAAGCCAAACAGAAAAGAACAAAATATTCATAAGATCAATGTATCCACACATGGAATGTTACATTGTAGTTTCAAACCCTGATAAACAATTCCACATTAATTGTGATGAATAAGAAATAATTAAAAGTTTTCCCTAATTATATCATGCTAGTATTTCACAAAGTGTGTTTTGAAATTAATATTTTCTTCAACAAGAAAATGAATCCAAAGTACTTTGTCAAAATATGAAACATATAAAACATGCATATGTCCTGATCATGATTGCATAACACTATTAACAAATGAAACGCCTAATTTTAAACCTATAAGCGTGTGCCTTATCACAAAGAAATTTGGTTAAAATATCACTTCGCCGCCGACATTGTGCGTAGAGCGTTTTCTAAAGAAATCCGAGTAAAAGTAAAAATATAGTTCCCGCAGGAACGTTCCTTGTTCCACATCGTATACACAATTTACATAAATCTGCCTTTCAACTGTGACTCTTGCACATATTCTACATCAACCAAATAATAATTTCATTCTAATCACTTTCTTTTTCAAGCTAAAAACAAAGGCACTTTACTTTCAACATCAAAGCTCGACAATCAATCAACATAAATCTGTGTGCATGAATGAATGCACTCAAATCCATAAATCGCCATGCAAACTATCAAATAACTGCTACTTATCTTAGATGCTATTTAAAACATTATAACAAATTATTCCAGAAACATACCTTCAAGTATAGGGTGAAACTTTAGGAGTTATAATGAAATCTGGAAGTCATACTGGTGCAAATAACTGCTACGAACAAACTCGGACGATTAGCAAACTGCTGTGTATAATGCAAGTGCGCAATTCTCCAATTAATGTTGCTAAGATACCATGTTACGTAGTTTCTTGACCAGTCGCTTAAACAAATAACAATCATAAATTACAGTTAAAAACAAATCATGTAGATAAATCATGTCATTCCATGACAGGTATCTTAGATATAGGATCTCTATGGGCATGCATTAACCTCATGTACGTATGAGGTTCATGCTTGCCCATACGCTGGCTGCGCGCACGCAGGTTCTATTGTTTAGAACCAGTAACCAGGACAACAAGCTTGTTTGTCAGCCATACTCTCACGAAACAATCTTGAATGAATTCTTTTTACATCAAATAACTAGGAATTAGGAGCAGGGCTTAAATTAATCCAAGGCCACCAAGGCCATGGCCGTGGATGCCCCTTTGATTGGCCTCAATGCCCCTCTCATTGGCCTTGGAGATTTTTTGTGCCCTTTCCAATTCTTCCTATTTGTGCTGTAATATAGGAATGTGCCCTACAGAAAAGTGGCCTTGCCCTAAAAATATTGAAATTTAAGGCATGTAGGAGTTTCGTGGTATAAAACAAATGATACATGTTTTCAGTCGTTCATGAACTATCCACCCTCGTTGAGGCTGTGTGTATCTATCGCACTCAGCCTAACGGCTTCCTGTGATAGATACACACATCCTCAACTAGAGTGCGGATAGATCGTATAATGAACTGATGTGCATACATCATTTGTATATTAGCCTCAAACTTTTTTTTCTTCTTTTTTTTCTTTCTGTTCTTATTCTTATTTCTGAAAAATGAACAGAGTAAAAGCAACAATATAATATATAATATCATCTTAAAACTACAAAACAGGCACCCGCTCATTCACCCATACACAAGCAAACACACACACTCACATACTTTCCCAGGGGGCAAGATTACATTACAAAAAGTCAATGAAGATGTTAAGGACAACAGAGCTTTGCAAGACTAAATTTCAGTTAAACTTGATAGACCATTTCTTAAAATGGACTTAACTTATTTTTCTTTTGGGCAATTTTATATTCTATTTTTTGTTTGAACTTTACCATTGAAACAAAAGCTTCGAAAATAAGTTCTTTTCCCTGAAACCTAAATGTAATATTTTAAAAATAAACATAGAAAATTTATACAAGAGGCGTGTTTGTAAAAGTGACTTTACAACAGCAATTTTGCCCAACAAGGATAGGCTTCTATGCCTCCAACAATTTAAAATCTGTTCTATAATGACAAGTCTGGGAACAAAATTCAGTTCGTAAAGCATTTTTGTGTTCAATGAGAAAACAACTCCTAAAGCCTTCAATGTTTTTGATTTCCAATTCAACCCTTTAATGCATCTTGTGGAATAAGTGTACTGCCTTTCAGCTTTCCTATATGAATTGCATCTGACTTCCTTATATTAATGCGACAACCTGAACATTTTGCAAACTGAGTCAAAGTTTCAAATATATGTTTAAAGGAAACTGTTTCCCAATTCATAAAAAACAAGTTGTGTCATCCGCAAAAAGACTTATCTTCTTTTTAAAGTTGCCAACTGAAATTCCCTTTATCCCTGGATTGTGTCGTACTGAAATAGCCAGAATTTCAATAGCTAGTATAAATAAAAGGGGATATTTATGGCAAGCCAAAAGGGAATATATTCATCTCTTGTATTTATATTCATCTCTGATTAAAAATATATTCAGCTTTCATTATAATATATTCATCTTTTCAATATGTTTGTCTTTTTAATATTTTCATCTTTATACTATATTTGTCTTTTTAATTTATCCATCTTTTTAATATGTTCATCTATCCAATATTTTCATCTTTTCAGTATTTTCGTCTTGAAATCCATGTTTGTTTAATTTGTTTGTCTTTTACAATATTCGTCTTTTATTCTACATCAGATTTGTTTGTGTTTCATTATATTCGCTTTTACCAAATATATTCACCTTTTACAAAATATATTCATCGTCTAGTCTACGCCGAAGGAAAAATGATTATGAAGGAAAAATTGTGCACATCATTACGAACTCGTAGCTCATGCACAGAGATGAATATAAATACAAGAGTTGGGTATATTCCCTTTTGGCTTGCCATAGATATATGCACCCCTGGAATATTCCTCTTTTACTTACAACTGGATTGGACATAAAACCATTGTTTAACACACAGCTAGTTCTGGCATTGTAAAAAGTCCTTATCCATCTTATATTAGCCTCAAACTTGGTTATAGGATGTATCACCATAGGAGGACAGTCTCATTACATTTAAGATAAGTAGGTGAAAGGTCACAGAGGTCAAATTACTTAAATTACTGGTTAAGCTTTCATGGTAAACCAGTATTAGTAACACTGGACGATATTAGATTGAAACCGGTATTCATACTGCCTTCAAATTTTTATACCGCAAAACTGCCATATTGACTTAATACATTCCGGTATTTTATTATTTTAATGTGTATAAAGTCTATTCACTTGAATTTTTGTTGCTTTAAAAAAAAAAAGGAAGTGGGCGGAGACAAGAAACACATTATTTTTGTCCTTTGGCCTACCGTATTTGCCGGCGTAAAGGCCGCAGTATTTTTGGAAGAGAAAATATCAACAAGTCGGGTTCGGCCTTTACGACGAAAGAGTAAAAAAAAAAGTCAAAACCAACACGAATTTGCACGTATGGGACTAGAAACGGTAAAATAACAATACCGCTATGGTACAGGACATTTCCAAACGTCTTCCCGACAATTTTATCTTGCATTGTTGACATGAATACGAAAATAAACGTCCTAACACAACATTTGCCGATAGATCTTGATCTAAGTTTGTGCCAATGCATTGCAAAAGTAAAGGAAGGGACAGTCTAACGGAGCTACTGCGAACATCCATCCGAAGTCGCCATTTTTTTCCCATTTCATGCAGTTTCGCATTACACCATACATTGTGGTAGGGGTATATCGGACACCATACCTGCCTGCGATCACTTTTTTAGCTAAACTTCCGGTAAATTATAAGAATATGGATGAATTTGGTATCAGTTTGTAAAAAAAAATAGTGTTTTCGAGAAAATTATGATTATTTTGTTTTGTCCGTTTTTTTTTTTTTTTTCCTCTTTGAAATGTCAAAGTTGGGGGTGCGGCCTTATCGCCGGCAAATACGGTAGTTATATATGCAAAACTTTGATATGAAGGTACATGGTGTCAAACACAGTCTAATTTAGATTTCGGAGAAGGTAGGTTAAAAGGTCATACCTCATTGAACATGCGAAAATACCTGATTATATATGCAAAAATGTGGTTTTCATTCAGTAATGTAAGTAATGTTGCGTACCAGTATGTACCACAAATGTCAAAGCTCATTTAACTTTGTGAGTCTAACTGAGAGCCCGCTTCTCCCATGTGCACTCATTAATGCCATTTTGAAAGATTAACTCTTTCATGCATTCATGAAAATTTGTGAAACATCAAGGCTTTGTTCTCCCGGAATTTTGTGTTTTCCAGCAAACTACTTCAATAAACTTATCACATTGGTTTCCTTTGGGAACATTTTCGTAGCTTTTCGGTCCTTTTTAACCCTATTTAGCCCGGGCTATTTTGAAACTGCATAGCCCGGGGGGTAGCTTTGATCTCGGCCGTGAAACGCCCGATCGCCGCGAAAATTTGCATACATGTCAAGTGAAGTGTATAGAATACCATGGTAATTTCAATTTTTTGAAAAATTCACTCATTTGCATATTTATGATAATTTATGCAAATAAGGTCATAAAATTCACACTTTTGCCCATCAATCAGACATTCATATTTAAGCATTCTTTCTCACTACATATATTTGTTAGACCATTTAGAATAATAATGCAACACAAAAAATTGAAAAACCAGGGTTATTATTCCTTATGTTATCTATTGTTTTGATAATTTCTTATGTATTTCTTTGTTTTTTTAACTTATGTATTTTATTGTTTTTGTTGTTTTATTTCATTTTCAACTATAATTCAACTATTTTGACCCAAAAATAAACACCTAAACTATAAACAAGACCAAATAACCAATGTTTTATCTCTTTATTTGAAAAATGAGATTTCCTTATGTTTTGTACACAAATCACAAAAATGAGCTATTTTCGGGCTGACATGCAAAGACAAAAGGACATGTGACTTTGTAATGGTAGGTCCGATTTTCGAAAAATTTCTTTCAAAAGATGCGCTAGACTCGAAAGAAAAAACTCAAAAAATTTCAGTGCAAGATTTTTTTGCGTTAAAAAATTATCGCGAAAAATGTCGAGGGGGGGCTTCTAAAGCCCCCCCCCCCCCCCCCCGGGCTAAATAGGGTTAAGAAATTATCAATGATTTTGTCATGGCCTCGGCCCCTCTGAAACCTGCGGAGTTAGCAGGCGGAGACACGAACCCTGGCCCGTAACGTCTGGGGGCTGACTCGCACCATGAGTCCAAGTATTCCACGGGAGATAAGAAGAAAGTGACTTTGAAATCGAGTTCAAGCAAAAAATCAGTGGAAAAATAATTATTATTGAAGAAACACCAGCTAAGTACATGTACTTGCCGCCAAGCAACTGCCCCATTCTCGATGTACCAAGAGTTTAACCGGTCATTTGTGAAAAGTTGTCACCGCTTATTCGAAGTCGTGACCTATAACTGACCAGAGTTCAAAATCTCCTTACGAGGGGCTTAACTGCGTATACACATTCACTCTCGTCTGCTAACCTCACAGAGACACATCAGGACGATTTAGCATTGCTCTCAAATGCTAACTATGTGATGAATTCCCTGCATAAAGAACTCATCAATCCAGATATGAATCCGGCTTACTCTCAATTGTGCAAAGCACCTGTGACAAATTCCTCTTTGGGGATGATTTAGGAAAGAGAGTTAAGGACCTGAAAGAAGAACAGAAAGTGACATTACATGTAGGTGTGGTAAAATCTGCTGATGAGGGTAAGATTTAGGCTCGACCCCAGACCACGTATCACCCATACAAGGCAGCTGATACCTACCGCTCACAGCAGTACAGATCAGCTGGATGGACGTCCTCATCCAACAGATGACCTTTCTCAGGGACACCCTATCAGCCTTTTTTTACGCAGGAGAGCGCCTCCCAGGGGCGGCATGCAGGCTCAAGCACAGAGACAGCCAGCTTGAGAGAC